ATCAAGCCTGTCTGCTGCTCATCAGTGAAGTTGGGAGTGAGATTCAGGAGGAGATAAGTGCTGGAGAACAAGGACCCCTAATTCTGAATCCATATAATCATATTTCAGAGGTTAAAGCTAATATTCATATTAGAACTTGGCAAATCTCTGAGTATATAATTATTTCTGAGAAAAAATGTAGTGACGTTCTTACACATGACTCTATTCAGATAGACCTAATTGAGGTTTGTCTTATTATAATAGAATGAATTGTACTTTTATTAACAATAGAGTCAAGATTCTTTTGAAACTGCATGACCTGAGATTAAATCATGTCAGTGAAAACTATATTGTTGGTTGCCTTTACCTACAGAGTGTGAATATGTTTAGTTTGAAGGATGTTTAATAAAGAAAGACCAAGTGAATGATTTATTTGAAGAAATGATCTTTAGAATAAATTTTGGATATTTTCTCAAATAATTTATCATTTAAAAGAAAATAAGAAAACTAAATTCTTTGTATTAGATTTACAACATTTAAGCAAAGGTGACAATGATTTAGAAAATAATTTTCAAGAAGCAAGTGAATGATTAAATGAGTTGTATAGTGTTAGGTTTATATCATAAATCAGAATCTTCAAAAGAAGTTTTTAACTTCAAAAACAAATCTAAAGTGCAATACAGAATGTCGGTATTCCATTATTATCTAGGGTTGCACCTACGAAATCCTTTCAGGAAACAGGATAGCCTTTTTGAAATTAAGAGTAAGACATAGATGTACAAAAAGATGTGTGTTAACTAACATATTCTCTATAGTTCCATCTGCTCTTTAGGAGTTAGACACAGAGGTAACTCTGATCATTATCTTTTAAAATTTCCTTTTTACATATTTATAATATATAAAGCAAAATAAATTGAAGATCAAAAGGATATAACATTCCACATTAAGCAAAAGCTATCTTGGTTCTCTCTTTTTTCATACTTCCAAAATGCTCACTCTGTTATTGGAAATCATTGTGAGAAAAATAGAACTTTAAGAGTACCAATAAGCTCAGAAATGAAAGAAGGAAAGAAGCTATGAAAACCAAGAATGACACTCTTAAGCATGAATTAGTTGCTTTTAAGCTGGGTTCCTTAAGTCAAAACATCTTTCCCCATATTGCCTGATTTTTTTCTTTTATGTTAGATTATACTGTTAGAAATTCTACAAATTGGATTGTTTGGTTTCATTGGAATTCTCTTTAATCCTATTCTTAGTCAAGTTGAAGCAAGGAAAGAGCCTTGTTTTCTCTCTTGCTTTTATTTCCAAAATCTAGAATTCAAGTTAGTATTATTAGATTATATATTTAGCCCAGTGTAGATATCTTTTGTAGGAATATCCTGTGAATTTCAACATCATTAAATATGGTTGGAATGGGCAAAACTCTTCCAAAATTAAGTATACTTGATTGCATTTCTTTTCTTTCAGTTTAGAGCCACATTTGAAAATGAAACCAGAGATGACTGCATAAATAATGACTACACAGTAAATATCCTTAAGCCCTATCATTTTAAATCCAAGAAAGTTAATTGAATTGGGTAGATAAGAAAAGAATCAGGGTCTCTCAAAATTTGGAGAAGTTCTATCCAAAATAGGAAATAAGAGGTACCTCAGAATGCTAATAGCCAGAATGGGGAAAAACCAGGAGGGAGGTCTTTCTCATTGTTAGTGCACTCAGCTGTTGGTTTTTTTTTAATTGATTCAAACAACAGGGATATAGTACTTGGAAAACAAGTTGGAAAGTAGACATTCAGATGAATAGACAGGGAATTCTTTCCGGATTGAAGGAGGACAACTGGTAGGCTTAGGGAATTCATGGGACATGAAGAGTACAGTTTGATTTTTAGCTTGGAATATTCCAAAGGGAACACTTCTTAAAATAGTGAAACCTATCAAAGATCATGCCAGAATAAAATAAATGCTAAAAGCTTTGAGACATTTATTTTGAGGGCTTTAGACTTTAGAGCAGAAACTTGACTCCCTTATAAAACAAAATAACAACACAAAAAATTACCATCTTCTCAAAAGTGTTACTTTCCCCACAAAAGAAAAATTCTCAGGGATGTATTTATCTTTTCTACTCCATGAAGGAAGAAACGAAGAAAAAGTAAGAGTCTAATCAAAGGACATTCTTATTAAAAATTCTCTTTTCAGGCCTACTGGAGTATATCCCAAATAAGTGTGAAGATCTAGGGCTTCCCAAATTTTCTCTGATGAGAAACAAAAACCAGTAAGTAAGAGGGTTGAAGTGAGGAAAAAACTCAGCAGGGAAGGAAGGGGAGGGATTTAGTTCCTAGGTATAGGGAGGCAGCTTCTCATATCCCTGTTTTCCAAAGGAAAGAAGTACACCAAGACGTTTATGACATCTTTAGAGAAATACTAAATGATATTTACTCATGGGTACATACCTTGACAGAAATACAAAGCTGATATTAACATATACTAGCTTCACTAAGAAAATTATGTACCAAAATATTAGTAAATAATCAAGTATTGGCTTGTTTTAACTAAGAAATACGTATCAAATGAGGAAAACTGACAAATCAGTAGATGGAAAAATTTTTAATTAACATGTCTTAAAAATAAGTCATTTGTCAATATAGTATCACTCACTAGCTTAGATAAAATATTTCAATGACTATTCAGCCTGTTACTGTGTATCTTTACTTCAATGCAGTCAGGCTTGGTATTATATTAGTTGATACTATTTTAAGCAGCATACCTAAAAAGAATGGTAAAACTGGAAAACCTTAATCTGTTAGTTCACTAATTTAAAATCGATGCCTGCTATTTATCCTGACAGGTCAGAAAGTAGGTATCAAGATAACCAGTATATAGAAAACTGAAGAAGGATTATTATCAGGTAGAAAGGACAAAAATGACAATGTGAAAACTAGTCTTGAATGGCACTTGATTTCTGAGAGGAATCATGAGAATGCAGGAAATATTAGCAACTTTATGCAATACATAAAAGCAAAGAGACAGAAACACATATAGCAGGTCCAACAAACAACAATAACTGTAGCTGCTAATCAGTGGTACTCAACATGGAAGGACAGAGCTGATAGCATATTTTTAGGAATTTATGCATAGGAATGGAAACACTGAATAGAGTTGAAAGAAATAGCACCGATTAAGACTGTTACACCCATGCTTTGGAAAATTTTGCTCCTTTCCCCAGAAGCCTATAGAGATTTCAGAATACATTTTAGTCAAAGTATAGGCCTACAGGGTCAACAATTTATTATCATAACAATAGGGAATGTTAAAGCATGATATCAAAGTTGGATTGGATGTCCCTGTAAAGTCTTTTCTAGTACTTTGATTCTGTATTTTAATACTGTCCAAACACTATTTCTGGGAATGATATAAAAATTTTTTGTGTATATGACCCCAATTCATTATTTTAGTTAAATATAGCATAAATCCATGAAACACTCCTACATCTGGGAGTTAGGTATAAATTTGTTTGAAAATACTGTACTGCCATTTTTGGCAGAAATTTATAAAGCAGTATTATAAACTAAATCATACCTCTTTTTCTAAGCCATCCTTCTGAAATCAGCTGACAGGAAAGGAAGTTAAAGTCTTAATTTTCCAAGATCCTTTATCTTTTGACAAGCTACCATCTTTCTGATTGTATTAGAGATTTTGGGAAAACACGTTGCAAAGTTATTACTTTGTGATTGGTACATGTATTTGTATTATCTATTTTACTCTAACACAGTGAATTTCAGATGTCTTCAGACTGACCTTTCAAAACGGGAACTAAGTAAATAAAAACTCAAATTTATGTGTAGAAGATATACTACAGAAAAGAGAAAAATTAAAATGGGCTTTACTTAGTTATATAAGGAGAATTTTTACCCTCTCATTCAGTTTGTAGAAGTAACATGTTTGGTCTATCAAACCAGGCCATAAAGAAAGCTGATGATGTTTTCTATATATACAGGTTGACAGTAAATTCTGCAGTTTTAATTAGCTTCTCAAAATTAAATTCTAAGAAAGTGTATAATGTATGAATTATATATATGCATATGTATATAATGTGTATGTATATAATTTATATATGTGTATAGAAATAGTAGATGTGTGTATGCACATATTCTATACAGCTCTGTGGAAGAAACATACTTGGGTGTCAATTATTATCAAAATTTCTTATCCAATAATTCATCATTAACTTTTATTAACAGTGCAGGATTTGTTTAGCATCATGTTTAACATTTTGAAAATCAAAACATTAACTTTTTTTGTTCTCAAGGATAGTGCTATTAAAAGATCTTTAACATCAGTGGTTAATAATGTTTACTTACAGAACAAAAACTTTTGATATTTCATTGTGCGACCTTAAAAGTTTATTAATATTTAATAAGTCTATTTATATTTCTAAAAACTGAGAATTAATGTGCATGGGATACTTGTATGCTAGTATATAATCATATAGTCCTACTGTTCTCATGAAACCACTTGGCTGGCAAACATATTCATTATGGTTTCAAAGAAATACCCTATTTGGGTCACCAGGAAAATCTTTGGGATCTAAGTCCTATCATTTCTGCTTCTGCTGTTGAACATGTATACATTTGGGGATGGAAAAGGGGAGAGGAGAGAGATTTATTAAGGTAATGCCAATATTTGTAGATTTTCCTCTTCTGTCCTAAAATTAGGAAGTTGGTAGAAGAAAAGGCAAATGAATGTAAAATGGATTTTTTTATACTATTACAGAAATTTTAGTGATTAAAAACAAGCTTTGTTCAGTAACTTGAACAATTTTATAAGAATTTTATAAGAATCAGAATTTAAAGTTTTCCTTTGGTGTAAGAAATAGTTTTGCTTTTTTATGAAAATAATTGTCTTTTTAAATAATAATATCTGTAATTGAATATATTGGTAACATATAAGAAGAAAAGTTCAAAAGATTAAAGCATTCAAATAACGCCAAAATATAGTGGAATATCAGTCAGCATTATGGGATCATGTCAGAGGTGAGCCCTTCTTTTATCAAAACAATTCTATTAGGTAATCCATATTATATAAATTTTGGTACCAAATGGCTTATATTATAGGAAGGCTGCAGCATTATCACAAATATGAGAGAAAAAGTTTAATACAGTCAAATTAATCACATGAAAAGGTAAGAACACTGATCATGTTGAATTTTTTCTAATATTTGGAAAATGTTATAAAAATATAAATATTACTCAAATTTTGAAAACCATGGCAGAAGCAAAATTAAATAAGGAGTAGAGTAACAAATAAAAACTTAGACAAAAGTATATTAAATGACAAAATAGCAAATAGTGGAAATGAATCATTAAGATCAAATGTACTTCTACTAAAAGGCATGAAAGTATTAAAAATTCTATTAGAAAGGACTCATTCTAAATATTAAAATAAATAGCAAAGACTATTAAACATTACTTCTAAAAGACTGAAAGGAAAGAAATAACACAAAGCAGACAAAATGAAAGACACCTCACTATTCCCAATGTGGTTATTATTTATGGAATGGTAAAACATGTTGTAGAAAATGTCACTACAGTTAGATTAACACATAAGCAAACCAACATGCCACAACTACCTAGTTTTGTAGAACAGCTGAAAAAGCAAATTTCATCAAATTTAGACAGCTTATAATGGAATAAATAAGTATGGCGAGGTATTAACTAACCCTAAGTATCACAACGGGCAGCTTCTAGCCGGTTCGTTGAAGCTGGATCTCGGCCACACAAGGATCATTGGACAAGAAATCAGTTGAGCTGGACTAGAGCTGCCCAATTGTCTTAATAATGAATGCTCCACACTGTCTGTTAAGTAAAGAGAAAGAAAATACAGATCAGAAAGTCTGAACAGGAAAGAAAAAGATCGTTAGGGTAGATGAATGTAGGACATCAATGAACATTTACTCAATACTTGCAGAACATGTACTAATTATATTAGAGTGTTAAGAAGTGAGAGACTAGAGATGAGGAGGGCTCCAAAACTACTACCTGCTCTCTGAGAACTTACAATCTATTTTAGACAATCTCTAATTTAGTGTCACAGTACAATGCTTAGTATATAAAAATGAGGAACAGGTCAACACAGAAACGAGTTAAAACATTCCTTCTATTTTTGAAAACATTATTAGGTGCGTTTTAAAAACATGCTTTTAAAAGGGGAATTTGGCAGAAGGCTGTTTAGAAAGTTGTTTGAAACCCAAAGGGTACCCTTGAATTTGGCAATGGTAGGATAGCTATATAATAGAGTAATTCCATATATTTGTGTCATCCTGAGATTTTTTTTGTGTTAAGATTAGTTTGGGGCAAAGAAGCACCTAGTTGCTACTATCCTTTTGGCACTTTGTTGGTCAGCTCCTAATTTAGGTAACCAAGCTGTCCCATGACATATTTTTAAATTTTAGGTAGGCTCAAAATTTTCCATATTTGATCCAGTATCTCTAGAGCAGTATTGTCTGATAGAACTTGTGCATGGGAAAGTTCTCTGTCTACACTGTGAAGTATGGTAGCCACTAGCTACATGGAGCTATTTAGCATTTAAAATGTGGCTAGTTGCAGTTGAGGAACTGAATTTTAAATTTCATTTAATTTTAATTAATTTAAAATTGAAATTAGCCTTGTGTGGCTAGTGGTTACTATATTGGGGACAGCATGACTCTAGGGGTTCAAACTCATCTGGTTTGCTAAACTCTATAGACTGACCTGAATTTCTCTGGCTTGTTCAATACTGTCCAATACCACTCAGTATTGTTCATTGCTTTATTCTCAGTATCTGGAATACTGGCTAGCACATGGAGGTGCTCAATAAATATCAGGTAAATGAATGAAATTTGTGGTAATATATAGCTATTCAAGCCTGGTCAACTACTCTCAGCTTATTGGCAATATGCTCTGGTACTCTCAGGAAAAATAGAGAAGTGAAGCCAAACTGTTCTATGTAAGTGGAATTTCTTGAAGACTTCATATGTCTAGGGGGAACAGGAGCAGCTTCAATATAGCTCAAAGAAAAGAACTAGAAATAGTTGTATATGAGTAATTTAGGTTGATAAGTATGGGAATACTGAAGGGAGAATATAATATTTAATGGTAAGGAATTTAGAAAGGATGTGGATAACAGTTGATGAGAGTGATTAAGAGGAAAAAAATTACTTCAGATTAAAAAACCTAAATTCAGATTGTATACATGACTGAAGGATGGAAACTGAATATAGAGAAGTCTCTTATTTTTTTTTAAAGATTTTATTTATTTATTTGACAGAGACACAGCGAGAGAGGGAACACAAGAAGGGGGGAGGGCAGAGGGAGAAGTAGGCTCCCCGCTGAGCAGGGAGCCCGATGCAGAGCTCGATCCCAGGACCCTGGGACCATGACCTGAGCTGAAGGCAGACGCTTAACGACTGAGCCACCCAGGCGCCCCTGAATATAGAGAGGTCTTGAAGAAATAGTAATCTGGTTAGGCAATAATAGAGCTTAACAAAGGGATTTGGCAATGGAAAAACAAATATTTTTATAAAGTTAGCTGTAAAGGGGACATAAAATAATATAAATAGACCATGTAGCATCAAGAGGTCAGAAAAATCACTGGTATTGTTTTGATTTTTAGGAAAGAAAGATGAGCAAACTAACATTAAGAGGTATGGATTCTGAAAATAAAATGTAAAAAATTGTGTATTCGTGATTTTGAGTTAGAGGAGGGAGTGACCACTCATTCAGGTGTTTTTTGTTTTTTAGGGTTAAATTAGGAAGAGAATCAGAGCACTAAGGTCAGAGTCACTATTAAACACTATTAAAGTGCAGAAGAAAACAGGAAAACTCCCTTATAAGACAGTTTACAGGGCAAAGGGAATAGTGCCATGATTAGTAGTTGGTAAAAGAAGAAATATATTTTTGAAAGAGATACTGAAAACTCAAACTGAATGTAAGGAAAGAGAACCACATCTGAGAATTAATAAAATTTGAACATATGCTGTTGACAGTATTAAATTTAGGAGAATCTAAGAGGATAAGAACTAGGATAAGACCCTTGGAATTTGGCTAAGTCATCAAATCTTGGCAATAAGTCTTACATGAGTTGTTTGAATAGATCTCAGTACTGAAGGAACAGTAATTTCATATGGAATGGAAAAGACACCCCCATACTCTTCCTTCTTGCCTTTCCAAAACAGATAAATTTAAAATATCTTTAGTGAAATACGTAATACAAAATCCTCCTGCTTATTATCATATATCCTTAAAGTAGGGGATGATGGTATCCAAAAAAAGTTTCCAATTCTGTAAGCAATTAAAATTTGATAAGTTGACTCTTGTGAAAAAGAAGATGCTCATCCAAGTAATCTATGTGCTAAGGGGAAAGAAAAGATTGAGCAAAATGAGAAAAAATGTCCAGTCAGAGGGAATGACAGACTCAGAATGCAAGGGAATTAAGTGCTCAAACTCAGAATGGAAATATGTAACTGGGTATGCAAATAAAATACGCTACACAATGAGATAGCTTTTCCCCCATAAAAGAAGCATTACATTGACTTAGAATACTGTATCAACTAATACCTACCTTTGCAGTGTCATTAATATATACCTCAAATTATCTTTATCCACACTTAACCCACATTGATTAATAACTATTTTGGCTGGTAAGAACTTATGACAAATGTAAATATTAAAGTAGTCCAGAGGCCCAGGGTCAAATAGTTCATGTTAGGTTAAAAATAGATTAAAAAGAAATAATTAGCGGTGCCTGGGTGGCTCAGTCGGTTAAGTGGCAGCCTTCAGCTCAGGTCATGATCCCAGGGTCCTGGGATTGAGCCCCACGTTGGGCTCCCTGCTCAGCAGAGAGCCTGCTTCTCCCTCTCCCTCTGTCTGCCACTCTCCTACTTATGCTCTCTATCAAATAAATAAATAAAATCTTTAAAAAAGTAAAAAGAAATAATTAAAAATAGAAACATAAGCAAAGCATTTGTACTGTATTTCACATTACATTTTATAAGGATGCATGGTCCCAGCAATGCGCTAACCCAAGAGTTGTGAAATTATGAACTTCAGGCCAAGTCTGGCCCATCTTTTGTTTTTGTAAATAAAGTTTTACTGGCACACAGTCAACTCATTGTTTATATTTTATCTGTGGTCGTTTTCATGCTGCAAGTATCAAATAGTTGAGATAGAGACTGTGTAGCCTCAAAGCTAAAAATATTTACTATTGGGCCCTTTATATAAAGTTTGTTGACTCCTGCTTTAACCTGTTCAGGCTGCAAAGAAATTTTCAGGCCAACCACTTCTGAATATCTATGAAAGAAAACCTTAATAAGATGCCTTAAATTTAAAGAGTGTATATACTCCATATTGTGGAAATAAATTATCACCAACCTCAAATATATTGGATTCACCTTGATTAAATGAAAGTCAAAATCAGACATTACAAGTTTAATAGAAATCTTGAGAGAAACTCAGAAGCTATTGAAACTAACGTTTTTGAGACTACAGAACAGGATTAACTAGGTACATGTTTAGATATATAAGATTAGTGAGTATCTATGCACTAGTTACCATAATGTTTAAGTTAAATCTATACTTAATCTGTTTTTTTTTTTAAGATTTTATTTATTTATTCGAGAGAGAGAGAGAATGAGAGATAGCACGAGAGGGAAGAGGGTCCGAGGGAGAAGCCGACTCCCTGCTGAGCATGGAGCCTGATGTGGGACTCGATCCCGGGACTCCAGGATCATGACCTGAGCCGAAGGCAGTCGCTTAACCAACTGAGCCACCCAGGCGCCCTATACTTATTCTGTTTTACCATCAGAAACTGAGTTTCCTGTCTTTACAAAAGCACAAAGAACTATCTTGTAATATTGAAGTTTGTTTCTAATACTTCCAAGGCCTTGACTTTTTAACACTGGGACATTAGTGTTTTTTAAATAGAAAATTACATTCGTTATATTTGTTGTGGTAAGGTGTGTTTATTTAATGTGGTAAACTGTATTTGCAATGTCTGGTTGGTATTATTCCTTATCAGCCTGCTTCCTATGTCATTGCTTATCTAGTTTGAATAGTCTCAACCAGTATGGAAGACTTAAAAGCTCTTAGAATTAGGAACATGTGGCTAGAGACATTCCTCCTTGCAAAAATTTATGTTACAAGTGAAATAAAGTGACTAACACAGAGGCAAACTTTTTGTTTTTTAATTTTTGTTTCTTCTCTCTGTATATTACAGATACAACATAGGTTTTCATAAATAGTTGCAAGAAGTTAACTGTTTTTGTGTATGTGTGCAATGGACTCCTTTGGCAGTATATTGAGGTATATGGACCCCTTCTCAGAACCAGGTTTTTAAATATAAAATATATAGGATTATAAAGTTATATTGTAATACATTTTTATCCACAGCCTCTTTGGGGGGGTGGTCTTTGGACTAAATTAACTTTAAAACTCAATGCAGAATCTTAGTAACTCTTTTCCTTGAACTTTAAATGTAAATGATTAGAACCGTGGTTATTCTATAATACCATTAAGAAATCAGTATGTAACTTTTTTTGCTACAAAAGTACTCATGACAGCATATAGACCCCATCTCTTGGACACAATCATCATTAACATTTTGAGTATAAAAAGTGACATAATATTCAGTTTGGTTATCTTAATGAATCTCAGATGGAATTTTAACATTTCAGGAAAACCAAATGCAACAAGATTCAGGTATGTATATTTAAGAGCAGCAACATGATTCTGAACTTAATTAGTGTAATTCCCTAATTCTTTTAGAGAATCTGATTGAGCTGGGATATACTATACCTTAAAATGTATTAAGATAAAAAGAA